TTTGGGCGAAAATTAATTTTTCTCGTTTGCCAACGAGTTAAAGTTAAGTGATGGCAAGCTCTCAGGCATCGGGATAGCGGGCTAACAACTCTGGAGGGTGGCTGGTGGTTAACGCACACACAGCCACGCACACGCGTGCAACAGCATGGCGGAGCCTCTCTCTTTTACGACTCGCGGCACGTTTAACGGCCGACTAAGCTTTTTAATAATTCGCCGACCGGTAATTAGTTCGTAATTTAATGAGACGGCCGTAAAACTCCGCCTGGGGCCACCCGTGCTCTTCGACCGTCCCGTAATTACGTCTCCGTGTATATTTCACAATATAATCGTCCGGAGAGCCGGACGAGGCTGTGTTTTCTGAATCTTGTCCCTCGGAAACGACCGGAAGCGGCGGGGGAGCGTGTTCCGGAAAGATCGTCCAGCCGATGTTTTGGCGTGCGGCATGTTTCGTGTGTGTGTGTGTGTGTGTTTTCTAAACTGGTAGCTTTTAACTCTTTGCCTTTGACAAACTTTTTTCATATCATTTACCAGCAATTTGTTTACAAAGCATCAGTTCAAAGAAAATGATATAGCTATAATTTATAATTTCAAATCATAAATTGGGTATAATCATTCAAATGGTATTTAACACGAAGTTTTGTTGATTATATCTTTCTAATGTGTGATATCGTTTAAATTTAAAGCATTCAGAGCTTAAATATAATATATAAGAGTTAATGATACGTAGTATCAAGTGCTAGCGAATTATTCCGAATTATCGAGTGTCAATTGACTCAGGACTGTCTTCAGAAATTTCTTCTAGCAAGAACAAATTCTTTTGTTATTATAGCTTTCGCTCTAGGTGTCTGTTCAGATATTATATACATACAACACCAGATATATACGTTCATTATAATTATCAGCAAAATTATAAAAGGAGTAAGTCCGAATTGTTGGCTAGATTTAAGTGCAATGTAAGGGTTAAGATATAAGTAATCAAGATACCATAATTTCATTTTAGTACAAGTTCAAATTAAAAGTATGTGGAGATTATGTATAAGGAGCTCCGTTTCCCGACAATTCGAATAAAACCAACCAAAATTCGTTTTTATTTAAAAAAAAAAAGAAGAAGCAAACGTTTTAAATTCGCTCGATTAATATTCGTTTCATCTCTTGCCTTCGGATCATCTCTTGCCTTCAATGAAATCTAAAACTTCCGATCAGAAATCAGACTTGCAGTAAATTCTTCTCCTTGAAGTGGAGAATCTCGGTGTTCGTCGCACGGGCCGCGTCTCGATCCCGATTATCGGCACGCTCACACCGTATCATCCAACCCTCGTCCACCCTCGTTTCCATATTCCGTCGAGTATATCGTGTTGGAAATACCGTGCGGGAACGAAAATACGGCCACGACCATAATTCAGCTATTATGGATAGTCAGTCGCGGCTACACACAGAGGCCAACACGTGTAAGATGGAAAGTAGGCAGGATCGTTTAACAAGATTCTTACACGCAATCTCGAGGCCGTTTCGGTTAAAGGGGTTAACCGTACATGTCCCGCAAGGCTACGGTGTTTAACAGTTCGCAGAATATTAGCAGAATCTGTCTCTCTCTTTTTTTATCTATCTATCTTTTTATCGTCCTTTCATTGCAACATAAATCAGTGGTTCGATCGGTGACGGGTAGCCAGTTGCGATCCTCTTCTCCTTCGTTTTCTCCTTCTTTTTCCTTCTGTTCTTCCTCGTTTCTTTGCCTTCTTTCGATCTTCATCTCTGTCTGTCAGAGGTTTCTTTCGCCACGTCCGACCTTCCTGCCTGTCCTGTCGATGCCACGCCACCAGGACGCCCATTAACTAGCTTTTTTACGTTGCGTAACGACCTTAAAGCGCCCACGGTTTACGAAGTCATTCCGGCGGATCGCGCGTTGGTAATCGCGCGAGAATGCGCCTCTTCGCGGGCATTGTTGCGTGCCACCTTTTTGCTTCTCTGCTACCCTCCCCCGTTCCTCTCCTCTCCCTCATACTCTATGTTTTTGTCCCTTTTCTCTCCGTCTCTTATCTTCACGGTCTCTCGCAGAAGGCTGCAGATCCATCCGGTAGACTGTCCATTCTCTGTTTCTTCTTTTCAGTCTCTTTTCTTCTCTCTGTTTCGTTTTGCTTTTTCCTTTGCCTTCGACCGGGCAGAATACGTTCCCTGTTTTTCTACGCTCTGCTATTTTCAAATATCGCATCGGCCCGATTGAAACGACGAATTCTCGCAATTTCTCTCTCTGAAGTTCTCTCTCCCCCCCTCCCCCCCGATTGCAACGAAACGTTACTTGAGCTTTGGTTCTATTTCTTCTATTTCGTTTTGTTTGCTTTTCCCTTCAAATTTACGCGCTGTGCGACTTGAACCTGAAAAACAATCGACGATGCATCTTTTCTCGTTCAGGAAATCCCTCAAATGTGTCACGGATGGGATGAATTCCTTTTTTTTTTTTTTTTTTTT